CACACGAGGAAGCGAGGATGAGGAAAGCAGGGCGAATGACTGGACAGCGCTGAGAGAACGACACGCCATGAGCCGTGCCAGTCGATCCGGCCCAGGTTGGGAGGGCTGAAGGGACGCCCTGAGCCACTACCCTGCCGTTCTGACTGGCTCCTCGTCCGGCAGAGTTCGGGGGCGTTTCGGCGGGGGCTGCGGCGGCGTCGGGTGCCCGTCACCCGCACGGCCGCGCTGGCCTATGACGCTCTGTGGAGCGTGGCTCTGGCGCTCCGGCACACCCAGCGCGAGTGGCGCGCCCGCGGCCTCAGCCGCTCTCTCCACCAGTTCGACTACAGCCGGGCTGACACGGCTCGGGACCTGTTCCGCGCCACGCAGAGGCTCAACTTCACCGGCGTCTCGGTAAGCCCGCCGGTGCAGCGGCTCGACCACTCAGTTCAACTTCACCGGCGTGTCGGTAAGTTCGCCAGTGCAGCGGCTCGACCACTCAGTTCAACTTCACTGACGTCTCGGTAAGTTCGACAGTGTAGTGGTGTGACCACTCAGTTAGCTTCACCGGCATCACAGTAAGTTCGTCAGTGCAGCGTATCGACCACTCAGTTCAACTTCACCGACGTCTCGGTAAGTTCGGCAGTGTAATGGTTAGACCACTCAGTTCAACTTGACAGCGGTTTCTGTGAATTTGACTGGGGATTTAAGTTTGGAATCTCAGTTAATTTGCGAGCATCTTAATTCTTCCATGCTAACTGTGAGCTTACCAATACTTCCTCTCTCCTCTTTATTTACTTGCTCTCTCCCTCTTTGTTATTTAGTTCCCAAATTCGGGCTTCGAGGAGCCTCAGGGGAAGAGGGCTGATTTCTGTAGTGATAACTGGGCTGTTCTCTCCGTGGACAGCTCTGACCCCGACGGGATCGATGGCATGGCGACCGTGACGTCATAGCCTCGCACGTGATCAGCATGCATCGAGCAACTTCGCTGGATGAGCACCTTCGTTTCCGGAACCACCGGACTTAGGCGGGGCGTCATTGCCCGTAAAGTAAATCCGTGGATTTCCTCCGGCTTGAAATGTTCGAAGTGAGAGGTTGGCGCCTCCAAATTGGTGGATTGTTCTGGATGACTCTGAGGTGTGAAAAAGCCGTTTGTAAAAATATTGCTCTGAAATGTGTGTTGCTTAAAAGGCGGTATAAAGAAGTCCCGGACTCTTTGGGACATTCGGCGCGATAACAGTAAAGCGAAGCTATAAGCAGAAATTAGCGACATTCGAGACCAGAGCTGAAGGCATCAGACATGATGGAAAATAAGTTGAATCTGTTCTTAGAATGCGTGGGTTTAATGTTACGGTGATGAAACGAGCTGCGTTTTGTTTATTGTTTGCTTGAAATCTATAGCGGCGTGGGTATTTGGCCAGGTAACGATGAATCTTTCACCGGGACTCCGCCAAACATAACAGTGTTTAGCGGTTATTGTACGCGAGAAAAGGGGCGCGAGAAAGGAATATCGCAAAACCAGCTGATCGTTGTCTGACCATGGGGGCAAATGTGGCGCGATTACAGTTATGCCTGGTTGTGTCACAAGATTGCTTTCAAGACTGTGAGCACTACGCATGGTAAGAACTCCCTGCATTGCTTGTAACGCTATTTGCGTTTTATAAGGGTAAGCTTGAAACAGCTAATAATTACAGCCATATTTGCGTTACGCCACCATATAATACGACGGTTGAAATCGAGAGTGAAAGTAGCAAGGCGGCCGATTTTGTTGAATTGTTCACATTTTCTCCAGAAACCATGCCACATCACTCTGTTGGAGGCAAGGTTAAGACCAAGTAACCCCATCCGGTCGCATCTAATCCGCGTCCACCTATCAGCAACCATAGCTGCCATGGAATGGTCTTCCAGATGCCTCGATTGCTGTGTTGCATGGCGTCAGTACATATACAAGACGTGACATGACATGACATGACATGACATGTATGACACAGTTACCAGTGAAACCCGCCTGGCTTTGGTCGGACTGCGCCTGCTTGTCCTTCCCGTGATACCGCGTGCGATGACTTCGATAAACCCGCGCCCGAAGCTTTCCACGAACTCCAATATATTGGCTTCCATCCTTGGCGAGATACACCAGTTATATTCCACTGCCCGGAATGTGCCATAACGTGCTCGTTGCTGATCTGATGCGGTACACGTTATGTGGTGACGCCCAGAATGCATCACAATGTGCTCGGTGCTGATTTGATTCAGCGCTGAACCCATTGCGTAAAGAAAAGACGGCTCACGCGCTTTGAGAAGAAACGTGGGCGGGGTGAGAGTGGGGGGAAACCCGTCCAAATTTCTAATGTCACTCAAATAATCTGCTTACCTGCAGTTGAAAGGCTCTGGCGCGGCTCTCATGACATGACAACACAACACGCTCCGTCCCTCCCCCCCCCCCCCCCCCCCCTCCCCACGCACACACCGAGTCCGTCCAGCCGGCTGCGTACACAAGTGCAGACCCTGAATGAGGACGGCGCGGAGCCAGGCTGGGCCATGTCCTTACTTTGTTCTGTTGTATCATGCCGGCTCTCGTATTCCGCCTTGCTCTTGATCAGGCCTGCTCCCTTTGCTGAGTGTGGGAGGAGCGCTAGTCTTGCCACGGCTTGTTCACATCTCATTTGTAAATGGTGCATTCTCCATAGAACGCTGCGGCGCAAACGCTTAAATCACACCGCAGCAATTTCCAGCCGGCAACTCTCCAGCTTTCGTGTTTTCCTTTCGGAGGCTACCGTACGCTGGTATGGTGATGTGGTGCAGGGATAACCCCCGCTTCACGAGTATGAGCTGTAGCTGTGGCTGCTGGCGGCGTGGAAGCCTGGCTTGAAGCTTGATAAAGGTTTGCAGTCTTGTGAAAATCTGGATGACCATAGGCGGTGTGTGCGCCTCAAATACGCTGAAAGCGAGCCCGTGGTAGACCAACAAGAATTGATCTGTGAACATTGTAGCTGCTCAACTCAACGAGACATCGGCGTAGGGAAGCTGGCTATGAAGAGCGGTGTGCAGAGAATTGTGCGATTCATCTTTTACTTATGACATGGAGGGAAGGTGGAGGAAAGTTTAAAATGATTTCTGACTGGGTTCTTTGGAACATGTGGCGTTCAACGAATACATGTAACAACAAAGCCAGAACAAGAACATCGCGGATAAGTGACTCGTCACTGATGTATATCGGTACTTTTCATAATCGGCAGATTATTTGCCGAAAGCCGGATCGTGAAATCAACATTTAAGGCGAGGGTGAACCTAAAAAAGGGACAAAAACGTGCTTTCAAGTTGGGAAAGGGTCGTTTGCGCTCCATTGATTTAGTTAGAAACTTATGTGCCACCTGAAATTGTCCTGAGTGGGTTCCCATTTTACGGCTGCCATACTAATTGTGTCAAAGTAGTTATTGCACATTTAGTCACAATGGCGTGCGAGCTAACCAGCGTCCGCATTTTAGATCCTCTTGAAAGATGCCGTAGTCGGTCTCTGCTGGATCTGGTTTCGCAACTTCTGATGGTCCGTGTTCCGTTCTTCTTTGCAGAGTGTTCTGGCCTGCCTCTCGTTCTCACCCCATCCGGAGATTTCTGTCCCGTTCCCGTCCCTTCTCGAGATGTTTTGTTCTACTGGTGGAGTCCCCCCCCCCCCCTCTAAGTTTTCCGTCTCCTCCCGGCTGTGACTTGCCGTATCTCAATAAACCTTTTCCTGTCTTCGTCCCGAAATGCGCGACGTGTTCTCGTCCGGTTCCGAAAATGTTCTGTCCCGTTTCCCGCCTTTCTGCATATTCTCGTCACCGTTCTGTTTTCTCTCCGAAAAGTTGTATGCCGTCCTGGCGTTTCCGAGGCGTTCTCTCCCGCTTCTCTTCATCTCCCCGGAAAGTCTGTTTCGTTCCCACCCCGCCGCGTCGTTCCCACTCTCCCGCTTCTCTTCGTCTCCCCGGGTGATCTGTTTCGTTCTCGTCCCGCCGCGCCGTTCTCACTCTCCCGCTTCTCTTCATCTTCCCGAAAAGTCTGGTTCGTTCCCATTGCACCGCGTCGTTCTCAGTCTCCCGCTTCTCTTCGTCCCCCCGGGTAGTCTGTTTCGTTCTCGTCCCGCCGCACCGTTCTCACTCTCCCGCTTCTCTTCGTCTCCCCGGTTGGTCTGTTTCGTTCTCGTCCCACCGTGCCGTTCTCAGTCTCCCGCTTCTCTTCATCTCCCCGGTTGGTCTGTTTTGTTCTCGTCCCACCGCGCCGTTCTTAGTCTCCCGCCGTTCTCAGTCTCCCGCTTCTCTTCGTTTCCCCGGATGGTCTGTTTCGTTCTCGTCCTGCCGCGCCGTTATCACTCTCCCGTTTCTCTTCGTCTCCCCGGGTGGTCGTTTCGTTCTCGTCCCGCTGCGCCGTTCTCAGTCTCCCGTTTTTCTTCGCCTCCCCGGGTCGTCTGTCTCGTTCTCGTCCCACCGCACCGTTATCAGCAGCGTATGTTTCAGGGACCAGTCAGCTTCAACGGGGCCGATCGCAGGGGTCTCAGCGCCTTCTATCAGCTACGAGGTGAGAGGGTCAAGTCGCCCGTGCGAAGCGGCAGCACCCGCACCTGAAGTGACCTTACGGCCTCGCGTTCAGTGGCTTGCTATGCTCTGACAAGCTATCTCTCTCCAGCGCTTTGCTGGGTTTTTCTGTGGCTGTGCTCAGGCAATATCGGATTTTTCAATTTGCGAACGGTCCGAAGGCTCAATTTCATTTCTGGTGATGGTATGTGACTTGCACCGAACAAGCATAGGGCATAAAGAGGACAATTCTGTCGCTGCCATCTAAATCGACGCGGGGTCGGTGCGTCGGTGAATTGCGACCGGGCTGTGACCGGCAGGCGGGAACCTCAGCCTGGTGGCGCTGTACGACCCGCGGCCGGCGGCGCTGGAGCTGGGCTGCGCCGCCTGCGCCGCCGTCTGGTGGCCGGGCGGCCAGGCGCCGGTGGCGCGCCGGCTGCTGGTGACGCGCGTGGTGACGGTGTCGCGCGCCGCCCTGCTGCCCATCGTTTGCCTGGCCTCGCTCGGCGTCCTGCTCTCCGGCGTCTTCTTCGCCTTCAACGTCTACTACAAGCACATGAAGTGGGTAGCGCGGTGCAGGGCGTGGAGATGAGAGGAGAGGGAAGACGCCAATGTCAGCTGTGCCGCCATTGAGACATTTCAACCGTGAACTAATTCACGGTGTTCCGTGCTGGGCATGGTTCTTCAAGAGAACAGGGTGATGATTTTCATTTCCCTTTGAAAAATCACTGATGACGAGATATTTACTGACGTAGCATATGCAGTCTCTACTGAACAGGTTTTTTCTGTTTTACTTTTACCAAAAACAAGCGGGATATTCCGACTCCCAAATGAGGCTTGCCCAGCCCAGGGTACAATTAACAAGGGAAAGCTTGCATATATTGTGCTATGTCTTGCTGTGGAACACTGCCATAAGCAAAGTACCACAGAGTGGACGCTAAGCAGGACGTCCATGGTTTTGAAATGTAGGTTTTAACGCCTATTAATCCCAGGTCATTGAAATATTGTTGCTCTTGCGGCTCTCTTTAGCCGCCGCGTTATAGACCACCACCTTTCTAAAAGTGTCACAACCATATGTTCACCTTCCATAGCACCCACGCGAAGGCCTTAACTTTGCAGACTTGTGACAGTGTAGAGACCTCCCCGCTACACGAAAAAAGACGAGAACAAGTCTTTTCCGACAGCACAGTTGGTTAAAGTTGGCTGCTTGTCAGTTGGCTCAGCTGGTGTTAGGACTCATCCGCTCGCGGCGAAGCACTTAAGCACTCGCAATTTCCCGTAACTAGGACGGCCTGCGGCCGGTGGCAGCGGCCGCTCGAAAGGTCAGTCGACGTCAGGACTAGGACGGTCCAGGTCGAGCAGTACGACGCGCCAAGCTTTTGCTACAAAACTCTGCCGTTAACCTTTCGAATTTCACGATCGGATGGTGGGTCCAGGGCTCATGAAATTGTTGTTCCTGGATCCGGAAATCCATCCAATGCAAAGGTTCAGACGAAATATGTAACAAAATGAACCGTGAACGCATTTCGCAACTTCATTCGTATACATTTGAAAAGGATGCTTTCAGCAAGTGCAGTTTTTTTTGAATGATGAGATCATTACATCTAGACCGTTCCTTTACCCTTGCAGTCTCTAATGGAATTGTGTACGTTTGCAAGTCTCGCTGCACGCGGCGTTTACTGTATTGAGCTACTGCGATAGCTGGGACTTAAGCCGTCGCGGTCGTAAGCCCGCCAGAGCGCACGCAAAGCGACCTACAGTGTGGCGAGGTCATCATTATTATGAGAGGTTTGGGCTCTTTTTCAGGACAAGCTCTCCCATTCATCACGAAGCTTTGGAATTATTTGAATTGTCAGAAGAAGCTATAATAAAATACAATCCGGTCAGAAACCGGCGTTATCAAACAACTTGAGGCCTGCCGACGGGACACACGGCCCTCTCCTGCTTCTCTCTCACCCGCGTCGTTGGTCCGCTTCTCAGGCAGGTGAAGCTGTCCAGCCCGAAGCTGAACAGCATCACCGTGGTGGGCTGTATGCTGGTGTACGTGGCCGTGGTGCTGCTGGGCCTGGACTACGCCACCCTGTCCAGCACCGGACACTTCTCTATCGTCTGCACGGTACTGTGGCGCGGGTCTTGCGGACGGTCGGCCGAGTCTCGTGAGACGACCGGCCGTGTCTCGCGGGACGGTCGGCCGGTTCTCGTGAGACGACCGGCTGGGTCTCGTGGGCGGTCGGCCAGGTCTTGCGGGATCACCAGACCGCGCTACAGGCTGCTCTGCCTCGCGCGCCGGTGGACGTGCCCTGCTCGAGGGCTCTTTTAAACCGTGACTGTATGGGCAGAGAGATGTGTTGGCGGGCGATGAGGTGGCTTGAGTCAGTCTTTTAAATAACGATGTCAGTTGTGTTTGCATTGACATGTTACCTTGTGCGGTATCTCATTCTTATCTTCCCCTGACGCGTGCAGCATGGCCATCCTCCTGGTAGTTTTCCCTGCTCTGGCGTCGGAGCGTGGGACCGCCGCATTTGGCGATGACGGCCGTTTCAGGAAGTTACTCGAGCGAACCGATTGTTATGAAAGCGCAGCCTCAGCCAATAAATCCTCATGTCGCAAAACTTACACGTGTGCTCCACTGTCCGTGTCGGGAAGGGTTGGAGAGGGTGCAAGGTCCGACTCTGGCTCCGTAGTCACGCTACAGGCCATGGGATCCCGTACGACTGCAGGGTTTACTGAAGTTTTATGTTGTTCTTTTTTGTTTACGTAGAACTTCTCCGAGTTCACAGACTGGCAAGGGTGTCGGCCTGAGGCGTCGTTCCATCACACAGAAGGTTCACGTGCGGTATAGCCTTATATTTAAATTTTTCCTGCATGCTTTGTTAATTCGAACCCAGTCCAACATCCCGACATTCTGGTGCAAAACTCAGGAGACTATGAAATGGCGACACCCGCGACACCCGGCCGATCATCCTACGACACCCAGCCGACCGCCCCGCGAGACCTGACCGACCATTCCAGCGTAATCCCCGTTCAGCGCTTCCCAGAATTCAAGGAATTGGTTTTGCGGTGCTTGCATGAATGACCGTGATGCGTGTCTTCGTCTCTGCGAAACCATTGCCTTTTAAAGATGGTGGTAAGCAAACAGTGCTAAGCAGGAAAATATCAGCGAACGAGTGGTGGAGCTGAAATCTGCCCACTTCGTTTTCAACCAGCTGCGGCTCGCACCGCACAGCTTCCTCCGAGATGAGGGCGACGTGAATAGAGTTAAGCCGTGTTTCTCTTCCCTGTCAGTTTTTCTTTTGAGCGCGCCCGCCTTATCCGTGATATGACAGTCCCCGTCGCATTCAGAATTCCGCTACAGTAACTAATCCGGAAATCCTCTTAGGCGCTGAGTCAAGATTTATCTGTGATTAAATACAAACAAGTGAATTAATGATCTTGTTGACTCGACGCACCAGCAGGAGATTGTTCCAACACGTCTAATCCTTAATGAGATGACGCTGGATGGAATTGGATTTCTTCGTTCATGACAAATTGTATAAAGTTTATCTCCGTTTTAAATACAATGTGCCAGACCGTATCAGCACCAGGTTTCGCTCGTCACCAGGCGTTAAGAATTCTACTGGCAAAGCTGAGCGCACAGCACATCCAATATCGCCGCCTGCTGCTATCCTGAACATCCGACATTACCGCCTGCTGCTACTCCAAACGTTCCATATCACCACCTCTTGCTACTTTGAACGTCTGATATCGCCTCCTGCTGCTATCCTGAGCTTCCTTGTCCACACTACATTCGCAGTCAGTAAAAGCAGCACCTTGTGTTCCTGCCAGGCAATACCATGAATACCACAGCACCTTATCTTCCCGCCAGCCAATATCACTATTGGAACGTGATTATTTCTTCTTAAATAAACTGACGACACTCTTCTCTGCCCCAACCACTGTTTACCCACTTGAGATTATTCCCCTTCAGCAAACGCTGTCTTGCCCGCCCGCAGGCCCGGGTGTACCTTCTTAGCATCGGCTTTTCCCTGGCGTTCGGCGCCATGTTCGCCAAGACGTTCCGCGTGCACCAGATCTTCGTCGGCAGCCGGACCGGGGTCATCAAGAACAGGGTGAGCCGACAGCGGTCGTCCCGGCGCGGCGGCGCCTCTCGGGTTCAGGAGCCAGGACGGCCGGCTTTTCCTGATTTTTCCGGTCTTTCCTCGCGCGGCGCTTCTGTCGCTGGGTCCACTCGGTCAACAGTCGCATCGGTTTAGGTGCGGGCGTGGCATCTATTCACTGAGGTTGAGACAGAATTGAAAATTACCAGAGGTGTCAATTTTTAAATTGGTTTAAGGCTCAGGCGAAGTGGCTGATGCAGCTTGTTGTTAAACCCTGATTTATCCCCAGATTCTGGCCACCGAAAGTGGCGTTCCCGATGTCAAGGATAGCTTTTTATTCTTATTTTTTTTACAAGAATGTCAGCCGATGGAAGATTGCTATACGTAAGAGCGTTTTCACACTCCAAGCCGATGTGAAACTGCAGCTTCGTGAAGCGAAGAATTTGGTGAACCTCACAGAAACTACCGTTAAAATGCAGTCCGATGTGATCAGCGGAAATGAGTCTCGTTTGTCCGCTCAGATATTGTGCATCAAAAGTCGAGTATTGTGTATATATTTGTTCTTTACATTTTTCCAAACTGAAGGCGTAGTAGGTACCGGCAGTATATATATATATATATATATATATATATATATATATATATATATATATGTATATATATATGCGCAGCAGGGGGCAGAGGGACAATTGCTCCTACCGGCAGACAGGCGGCAAGTGTATGTTTTTGATCCTCAAAACTTTTAGGAGACACCTTTTTCCAAACTAAAAGCATTGTAGCTACCCGTAGATTATAAAACTTAGGTCAAGAAATTCCCTGCAAGTGAGCACATGTTTTGCGGGTCATAAGGCCACCTTTACGACTAGGGTATCTAGATTATTAGGCCCCACGTTTTGTTAAGGAGGCCCCTTTGCTGTCTCGGGAGGCCCCTTTTATGAACTAGGAGACCCCTGGTCTGGGTTAGGAAGCACCCTCTATACTTACGAGGCCGCATCTCTGAAACAGGAGACCCTTTCATGTGTCAAGTGGCCGCGGTTCCGGATCAGGATGACCTGCTTTGCGATAACGTGACTCCCTGGCTCGGGTCGGAGGCCCATTCGCTAATAGAAAGCATCCTGTTTTGAATTAGGAGGCCCACCATGCCTTTACTGGAGGTCCTTTACTGGAACAGGAGACATTGTTTTAGAACAGTGAAACCCTCTTTCTGAGCAATCGGAATGTCCATGTTCTGGCTTGTGTAATTTCGACATTTTTTGTACAAGGATAGGATACATGTAACAATTTGATAAAGAAACTTGGTACCTCTGCCCCTTGAGTACGAGACTCAGGAGACCTGCTTGTGAAGAAGCCCCATCTTGTCCAGGAGGCCCCTGGAAAATCCTGTTCCCCAACTGAAACCAGTGGCGCCACCCCTGGTCCGAGGTGCAAGGAGACAATTTTACGCAAACTGGCGTGGCCTGACACGCGTAGACTACTGAAGAATATGCACAATGTACATTTGCCGTGGGGAGGCACGAATGCATTAACACACGCTCGGATGGTGGTCAAATTGACCCACCGAGAGTTTTTCCAGAGTGGTTTCCGAACAGCGCGGCGTAGCCGCGCCAGATTTTACGGAACTATAGACAATTGAATAGCGGATCGTTTGGCATCACTTCAATTGGCATCAGTTCAGATGCACCTTGTAAGGTCGCTGACCTATGGCAGGTCAAGGTCAGGCGAGGGTTTCAACGAAGACAATTTCTAGGGAATCCTTCAATCTGATCCAACAACGGAGTGTTAGACGAAGTCATACATCTCTGAGATGCTTTCTTAGGCAACACAATAGTTGAATGAGCGAATTACATCCACTTAAGGTCAGGATATGAAGGTCACACCAAGGTCAAAATCAACCTGTTTTGTTACTCTAGGGCTTGCTGTATGGGATAGTTTCTGGTGCTCATTTCGAGTTTATTGATAGCACGAACCGCATTATGCATTTTCCATGGACTTCTTAGAGGATCAGAATAGGTAATTGACCCAAAATGACCCAGGTCAACATTTTGTTTTAGGAACATACTGCCTAGCGTAACCTTTATCGCTCAGTAACATGCAAAACTCAAAGCAATCTTGTATGATTTTGGCCACCTTGACCGTCAAAAGGTCAAACAAGGTCGCTGACCTTGAACGGTAATGTCATCTTTTGCTTAGAAACTGCTATCTAGGTTTTGGGGACTCTGGAGATCAACCTGGGGCTTGGCCTTGTTTGGCCTTTTTTGACCCAAAGATCATGATCTAGGAACCTGAAACTTTGACCTAAGTTAGCTTACGTACAGGTCAACAGACCCTGTAAATTTAGTGTATCTAGCTTTCTTAGTTCCCGACATCTCAGGGTTAAATTGCCCCCCCCCCCCATACCCGAGCGAAGGTTATCCAGGCGGCCACCCGTGTTAAAGACAGAGGTGTGTGCATACAGCAGTTCCCCGGAGAATGCCGTAGTCATCTCCTTACCAAATCTATGGCCGGTATTTGTATGTCCGTGACTATATGCTGACAGTTAAAAATTGCAGACACTTAAGAATAAGAATATTGGGCACGGGCACGGACAAAACATTTTGTTTATTCGAAGCACGGTTTTTCGAACCGATCTCGTATTGTCTGGCACAGTTTTGCTGCTCGTTAACAGGCTTAGCATAGTTTAAGGAGCAGACGTCCCCTCTTTCCCGGCGTGTCAGGATTCGAACGTGAGGAGTGTTTGGGCATGCATGCATATAGACTTTCCGCACGAACGGTTGTGCTCGGTGACAGTTGTGCGCTCAATGCGTTTTAAATCGCTGCGCCACGTTGGTGTTGGCATGAGATCACCGCGCTCGGTACGCTGCCGGGACGCCGCACCTCACGCTCCCCAGCCACCCTGCCGGCACGAGGAGGGGGGGGGGGGGGGCAGCGTGACGTCAGCCGAGCTCAGGAGGGGGGCCGTCTGATCAGCGGGTGATGGCCATTGAACGGGCGGGCTGCGGCTCGGTCAAGCTGGGACAACTTCCCTGATCGGGGAGGGGAGGGGGAGGGGTGAGGAGCCGGACGCTGCGGTGAACCTGATCTTCTCCCGGCCATGTCCAATGAAGTGGCTCTGAGGCCGACGCTGTACAGCTGTACTTGCCCTCCTCGCTGGGATACTGCTGAGGCTGATACTGTACGCCCTTTCTCGCTGGGATACTGGTGAGGCTGACATTGTACATGCCCTCCTCGCTGGGATACTGCTGAGGCCGGCACTGCACCTGCCCTCCTCACTGGGATACTGAAGCTGAGGCTGAGGCTGCAGCTGCCCTCCTCGCTGGGGTACTGCCGAGGCTGAGGTTGCACCTGTCCTCCTCGCTGGGATACTGCTGAGGCGGAGGTTGCACGTGCCCTCCTCGCTGGGGTACTGCTGAGGCTGAGGTTGCACCTGTCCTCCTCGCTGAGGTGCTGCTGAGGCGGGGGTTGCACGTGCCCTCCTCGCTGGGGTACTGCTGAGGCTGAGGTTGCACCTGTCCTCCTCGCTGGGGTGCTGCTGAGGCGGGGGTTGTGCGTGCCCTCCTCGCTGGGGTGCTGCTTAAGCCGACACCGCACCGGACTGCCTCTCGGAAGCCACATGACCATCATGGGCAAGGCAAATTTTTAGGGAATGAATGCGCAACGGCCATTCTATTCTCCTCAAAAAGCCAGCGCGCAAACCAGCCTTTCTGCTGCTGCTAATCAAAGCTGCCGCTTTTCCGCGTCCACATGCCCACAAGGCACAGACCACCGAGCTCTCTGTGGGCTTGGCCGCCAGATAATGTGGTTCTTCCGGCCTTCAAACGTCCCACAACAGTGACCTTTAGCTAGTTATGTCAAATATGAGCAAGCGTGGGTTCAGAACACCGTCTTGGGAACAAGTACAGTCTTGGCATGGAGGGCAAAGTTTAAAAGACATCCTGATTTTTAAGCAAAACAAAATATATTGAAGTTTGGTGCATGTCAGTCGCATCGCTTGCCTTTAAAGCTTTATTGAAAGTCAGAAATGTGTCATTTGTGTCGAACATGAGCTATCTTGAGTGGGGCCATGACATAATTTTTCTCCATCTGTCCCCCCCCCCTTCAATCCGCCCTTAAAAATGAGCAGCTTTGCGCACTCAAATGATTTCAGCACTTCATACAGGCTTTCTGAAGTCCGTTGGAAATAATGTTATTACTTCCATTAAACTGAACATCGCCTAAAATTCTGGGACAGAAAAAGAGCGTGCCACATAAGGGAGGGGCGGGTGGACGATAGTCATTTTCGATCATTTAGTTCCAGATCAGTTGTTATCCTGTGACAGGGAGAACGGAAGTCTTCCAAATTTAGGGGGCCGATACGCATTTTCGTTCTAATAACGCCTACGGTACATTTCTTTCCACTAACGCGAATGGGACTAATACAACATTTGCAAGAAGCTGATTGGCTTAGCCAGCTCCTCAGATCATCCGCGCCCTGGCCGGAGGGTTGCCTATGTGAATAACCACGATTTTCATCACAATCTCGGAAGTGGCCCGCGAGCCACCGGACAGGGTATCACATGTGCAGAAAACGGTGGCAGATATCAGCCTTGCTCCATATTTACTACCGTTCTATACACAGAAGCGCGTCGACACGAGTCCGTGTATGCTTGACAGCTTGGTATAATTTTCAGTTGTAACGAAAAACATACCAAATTCACAACACGTCGAAAACGATATACCATAGTCTAGACAAAACTACCAGAAACAGCGCAAGGTAATAGCAAATAGTGCATACCAATTAGTTTAAGCATAACAAGACTGCAACAAATTACAAAACATTGGTCCGTTGCCGCGGACGAATGCTGCTAGATTAGGATAGGTTCGTCGGGTCGGGTCGGCTCGGGTTGAACTAGGCTGGGCTGGCTGGGCAGGTCAGGTCAGGTCAGGTCTGGCGAGGCGGCCGTTGCTTACCGAGGCCTGCTGCCGTCTGA